AAATGGGACACATAACTGAGACTGCGCCTTTTAGTACGGTGCGCCTTATGGTCGTGAAAATACGGTATCTGAGCCCATATGTTTTGTTCAAAGCTGGCTGATAAATCCTCCAGTATTATCCAGTTTAGTCAGTGTTCTGTATAATTTAGACAGTAGTTTGGGGGGTTTTAACTTTAGGAACTCTGATATATTAGTTGGGATTTGTAAACCTCCATTAATATGCCTACATTTGTTTCTAATTATAGCTTTAATTTTTTAATATTCTAAGAATTTTTTTTAGTTAATGCCATATTGCACATTTGGACTATATATGCTGACAGTACATAACTTTTGGTCATGAATAGATATTTTAATTATGATGAATCTGCCTTCAGGATCAATATTTTTGTCTTATAAAGTAAAACTGAGGTTTTTGTGGATTCAAATTGCTACTCCTCTCTGTCTAGAGTTATAGCAGGCTGCAAACACATCAGGGAACTTAGTGAAGTTAAGATCGCTTACAGCTGTCGCTGATTTATGGGTTTCTTGCAATAAGACAACATATGCATTCAATCTTTTAAGCTGGTTAAAAATCTTAAACTGTTTCTCTCTGTCTTGTGTGTTTCATCTGTTCTGTTTAATATGCAATCTTTTGTTTTATTAAATCATAGTTCTTCATTTCTATTTCTGTCTCTTCAGACTGAATGACTGTAACCTCTCAGAGAGAAGCTGTGAAATTCTGGCCTCAGTTCTCAGCTCCCAGTCCTCTAATCTGAGAGAGATGGACCTGAGTAACAACAAGCTGCAGGATTCTGGATTGAAGCTGCTGTTTTCTGGACTGAAGAGTCCAAACTGCAAACTGGAAACTCTCAGGTCGGAAAATCCGTCCAAGTTACATTTGAGGCCTTGTTTTATAATGTTGAATGCTTATGTGATAAACTTAGTGAGAATTGGAACCTTTTTTTACTGCAAATCAAAAAAAAATTTAAACTCTCAGTTCTGAATAACATTGATGTCTTTATTAGTTGAAAATCATGAAATAAGCTGCTAAAGTACTAAATTTATGAAGCTCTTTCCAATCATACTTAACTCTCAATATGTTGTTAATATTGGTCACATTCATCCTAGCAGCCTCTCTATTGTTCACATTTGATGAACACTTGGAGTTTCATGTGTTGCCCAAAGTAAATACCATGTCAACTGGGAAAGCTGGAATAGAACCCAAAACCTTCGAATTGCAAGAATGATAGTCCACCAACCTAGCTACAGCGATTAAAAAAAAAGTAGTATAGGCTTGGAGGTGCAGTATGTCTGTAATTTGAATAAATAGAGATAGACATATTTTCTTACATAATACATGCAGGATGTTTCTGTTTGGACCTAAGTGAGCAATGCAATGTCTGAAAAAAGAGGAACCAAACCAAACGAAATGTTACCATAGCACACATTTATCAGGACACACATGTGTGAGATGATGCATCTATTCATCTATATAAACTCAAAATGCTAGTGACCAAAGCAAAACACAAAATCATATCTATTTTTATTTGCTTTGAGTGAGGTGTGATAAAACATCTTGAACTTTAAAAACTAAAAACATATCAAACCATGTTTTTATGCATAGTTCTGTCTATGTATTTTACTATTTTTTTGTTTATCTAACAATATCAAAATAGTTCTTATTCGGACCATAATCAGAAACTCAACTAAACCTTAGTTGTCATGATTTGATCTAAAGCTCGGACCCACATGCAGAGAAACCAATTCAGAGAGACCAGGGGAAAAGATTAAACAGGTTTTATTGAAGAGGTTGTTTGAGAAGATTCCAGTGTTGCTCTGAACACTGCTCAACCAGAACTGAATGGTGAGGGGAAGGCACTGCGGTTAGTTTAGGCTCAGTGAGAAATTTGATTCGTGAACTTAAAGGAGAGCATTTGGTTGCCGACTCACATTTCCAGGGAAGTTGTCGATTCTTTGACTCCAGTCTATATGCTGTCGTTCCAGTCTTTGTCTGATTCGGTGGAGGGCAGAATGCGGTTGTTTGTAGGTGAACGGAGAAAAGCTGACTGCCACTCAGATTTCCTGCGGTACTTGAACGGGTCGTAGTGGAGATGAATCCCTTTCTCAGTGTGAAAACTCAACGACTTCTTGGGGAAAAATTGATCCAAACCTCCTGTTTGAATCCCCAGCTCAGTTTGAGGCTCAGTTGATCCTTCCAGGGAGTGAAGGTCCGAAAAATCCAGTCTGCAGGAATACATCCTGCTGGGAGGCAAAGACAAACCAATGTTAAGACTCAGGTTAGCTAAAACTTAGTTTGACACAGCAAACTCAGCTTGGATACAGTACCCAAAACTGGCAAACACTCTGGCGTCAAGGTTGTGGCAGCCAGCAGCTTAAGAGCACTCCGTTAACGAGGTAACCAGGTGTGTAAGGCAGCGGACCAGAAGGGAGACAAACATAGAAAAAAAACATCCATCATTTATTTCCTCTATTTACAAACAGCTAAAGTTTAAGTCATTTGAGTTTTATTATTCAGAGTTTAACCAGGTTTACACGAGTATTAGGAAAACCCACCTCTGAGCTTTCCTTCCCTGTTCTTTGCCTCCAGGCAATCACTTATTTTGCGATTTCACTTCAAATCAATCTTTCATAAAGAAAATAGCTATAAAACAGTACCTAGGGGTTTAACAGCAAATTTTATCCTAACCAGACATTGAAGATGATTAAAATTAAAGACTTTAATGTAAAATTCTATCTAACTAAACAATGTTTTGTTGACTCCCTGATCTAAGTGCAAAATTATTTCTTTTTAAACAGAGTCATTTTCTTTAAGGATTTAGCAAGCTAAGTGTGGAAAGCTTTGTTAACATTTTCTGAAGATATTTTGAATATTAACACATCTTGTGTGATTGAAGAAGTCTGTATCAGCGCCACTGAGGATTAAATGAGGTTCAAACAGACAGGAGGAGCTCAATGGAGGCTACTGTTCTCTGAAACAGAGGAGGTTCAATTGTGTTCTTTAAATCCAAACATATTACTTTAACAAATGTTGAAACACATCACGACTATGGGTGAAATTAACTGTTGTGAAGCACTCTGATAATAAACTCCAGAATATACAGCAAGAGTTCAGTACAAGACTTGTTTGATCATCATTTTGATCACCCTGTCCGAGGGATGTTTCTCAGACAGTGTACACAAAGAAAGAACCATGTATAAGCATTAACAGAATTTATTCCAGTCATGGTTAACACAATTATTGATATAAGCACAACTTGCATAGGAACATCTCACATTCACTCTTAAGCCATTGTTTTTATCCTTACCATCAGGTGAGGTTCAAAAAATGGCAGAGAGCTTCTCAATGTTTTCCAATTTATCTAAAAATGCTACACCCAGTGAGGGGGAGTCTCTCAAGCTGCAATTTCCTACCTTTCTCCCCCACAGCATTACCATATAACTTGATGCTAGACCCTCTCTGATCCTAATATGTCAACATAACAATGCTTATTTAGCTGACTTACTCAGAAAGTAAGCAGATAGAGAAATTAAAAAATATAACAGTTATTCAAAACAGAAGATAAAATAAAATGACAATCTTAAACAAACTGAATGATTGCTTTGTCCTCTTGTTTGAGGTTAATGAGGAAAGCCTCCCATCTTTCTGTTGTTGTGAAAGTTTACCAGAAGATGATGAATATGATGAATAACTAGAACTGTAAGTAATAGTTAATTAATAGGTCATTCAAATAAAGGGTAAAGTAATTCATTATTATTAGTTGAATGATTATAACTGTAATTTGCTTACTCACCAGGGTTCTTAGTCTTGCACATAATAGGATAGACTTCTGGACCGGCTGATTAAAATCCAATTACCTTCATCATTTTAGTGGTTAGATTATGAATATCAGCAGAACTATTGATCACCAACCAAAGTAATCTGTCTCTGTTCATTTATTTCATTACTGAAATAAGAGTGAATCGAGCCTGAGTGATAAACTGTTCACTATAAAATAAACACAAAAGACCACAGGTTTAAATACAATGGCACCTTTATTACCTAATAACCCCTCTCACATTATTATTTTATCTAATAACTGCTCAAATGTTAAACACTACTAAAAAAAGCAAAAGTGAAAATAAGCAAATAAAAGGCATTAGGGAGTTTTGAAGGATTGTTGAAGAGTATTTGATTTTTTAAAGTTTTAAACCTTAATGAATTTAATGTGTTCTTAAAAAACAGCAGCAGATGAATAAACCGTGATGCAGAAATAATAAATGCAGTCAAAACAGTGAAGTTTTATTCTGTTTTACAGTGAAAAAATGAACAATGACTTAGGAATGCATTAAACTGTGGTCCAGCTAAAAGAGAATGGTTTAGCTTAGCTGCCCCAGGAGGTCTGGTCTGAGCGAGTCCAGCTGAAACAAAGGAAAGGTTAGAGCTCATAACATGGCCTCTATAATGTAGCTGGATTGAGGTAGCTAGGAGCTAACGATGCTAGCCAGTCCACTGCAGTAGTCTCTCCAGACCCATGTAGTTCAGTCCACTCAGTGAGCCTTAGCATTCAGTTAAAACTCTTAAACCATCAGCAGTTGAATCAGAAAGCTTCTTTCAGATAAAACAAAAACACAACTATTTATTCTACCTAGTTCACCCAAGCAGATAATCATTATTAAGAGTCAGATGGAAAGAAGGAAAGATGGATGTTATTGTTTGGCTCAGTGGAATGGAAGGGACTTTTTCGTCTCACTTTGGTTCTTTGCAGATTGAAGGCCCTGTCTTTGGTCCAGTGCGTCCAACAGCATCTCTCAAAGAGATTTGGTTTAATCCGATTCAATAACTCTGTCTGAGCTTAGAACAGAAAGATCCAGTGGTTCAGGTAGCTGCTGTTGAAGGCAGGCAAAGCTCTCTCAAGCCAGTGGCGGCGTCTCAGGCAGCGGCGTCTCAGGCAGTGGCAGGCGTGTGTATGGCCCAGCTGTTCTGAAGGCAGTTAGGTATAGATTGACCAGTGCTGGATAGCTGTCTTCTGTTTCAGCAGGCGGGTTCATGTAACACGGCGTTGAACACAGTTTGAATTGCAGAAAAAGACGGTCACTATCAGCAGCATCTTCTGAATGGTAGGAATAGAATAAAGCGGTATCTCATCGTTGAATAGCTGGTGCTAAACCTTCATACCACAAAGTAAACACAGAACTAAAACATCTCTTCTTTCCCCTTTTTTTGTGTTCTTAGTTTATTCTCTTTTCTATTCTCACTGTCTCATCATTCCTGTGCTAGCTGGGGCTCAGTCTCTCTTATCACATTTCATCTGCTCTCTTCATTAATTTTCCTTCTGTTCGTCTAGGAAGTAAAAATTATTTATTAATTTTTTATCTCGCTACAATATTTTAGAAATTGGTATCTTATTAAATTCAAACATATGATCCTACATTGTTAATTTAGATTACAAATTTTGAGAAAGAGAAAGACAAAGTGATTTAATCTACATCAGTGATTTATCAGTGACAGGCTCTTTTGTTCTGACGTTCAGCTGATTGAAAGATGAAGAGTTGCTATTACACTGCCCCCAATAAAATAGCACAGGATAATATTTGGGAGATTAATAAAATCACCTGAATAGCTGGTTAGAATATTGTAGCATTTTTAACATGACTGTGAAAATTAGTCTTAAATGTCATCATTACCTTCAGAACAGAACTATGGTTTGTTTTACAATTTGAAATCAACCTGAAGCCTTTCCCATACAGTGATAGCCCAAATACACTCACTGCAGTGGAAGAGACTGGATGTAGAGAACAGCCTAGGATCAGCTGTTTTTCACTCTAAGCTATCAGAGCTAACCAAAGTAGCTCAGGTGTTTAGATGAAAAAAA